CAAGCGGGCCCAGTAACATTGTGAGATTTGTTACTGTGTTTGGCATATCGAATACATCACGGGTAGCTTGCCAGGCTTTTCTGTGCAGGCAAGATACTCTCAGTAGCTTGCCGGGCTCTCTGAGAGGGGCGGAGGAATCGAACTCAGGTCGGTCATGTCGGCCACGTGCAAGGCAAACGCTCTACCCGCTGTGCTATCACTCCAGCCCGCTGGAATGGATATTTCTCAGAAAGAGACACATGGGTGCGCACGCACACACACACACACACACATGCGCGCGCATGCGCGCACACAGGGACTGGAGTAATAGTATGGTGCACATGCGCATGCACACACGTGCACACACACACGCGTGCACACATACACACATGCATACACACACACGCGCACACACAAACATGAATGCACCAGGGGTTGACCAAAAGTATGGCAGGAAGAGTACTTGCCATGGGTCCTCTGAGTAGCCCCAAGAGTAATTCCTGAGTGCAAAGCCAGGATGAACCCTGAGCATCACCAGGTGTGGTTCTCACCCCACCTTCACCCCGCCTCAGTAAAGAGGCACACAGGTGCCAGGAGACAGCACAGAGGAAGGTATTTGCCTTGCAGGCGGCCAAACAGAGTTCAATATCCAGCAACTACATAAGATCCCTGAGCAGGGCCAGGAGAATCCCTGAGCCCCGCCAGATGTGGCCCAAACAACAACAACAAAAAAACGCAGTGGAGACAGCTGTGCTGAGGGTGAGGAGTCGTGTTGGATAGTTTCAGTTTCATAGGATGAGAAAGTTCTGGTGCTGGTGGGTGGCCTGTACAGAATATAACTTAGGAGGCCACTGAACATCAAAACTAGCCAGTACAAGTTTTCTGTAATTCACCACAATCAAAATGTTTATAAAGAAAGAACAAAACAGGATTTGGGGGAAGAAACAGTACGGGAGTTTGCCTTGCACATGGCAGACCCCAGTTCAGATCCCCGGAACCACATATGACCCCCCCCCCAACCAAACCCACCTATAGAGCCAGGAGTAAGTCCTGAGCACTGCCAGATGAGGCCCACTTTACCCCCAACCTCAGCCCACAAGAAAAAAAAAAAGCAGGATATCTTGAGTCAGAGAGAGTACAAAAGTTTAGGTACTATAAATGGATGGACATGGAGAGTATCATGCTGAGTGAATGAGTCAGAAAAAGATGGACAGATTAGAATGACTGCATTCATTTGTGGGATATAAAAATATATATAGTAGAAGACTAACATCCATGGTCCACAAAAACAGGGGCTAGGGGGACTTTTCAATGGTTGGAAATAACCACCAGTACGTGTTGGGGCTGAGGGTAGGTAAGATAAAGAGACCAGGGGCTGGAGTGATAGCACAGTGGGTGGGGTGTTTGCCTTGCACGCGGCCGACCCGGGTTCGATTCCCAGCATCCCATATGGTCCCCTGAGCACCGCCAGGAGTAATTCCTGAGAGCAGAGCCAGGAGTAACCCCTGTACATTGCTGGGTGTGACCCAAAAAGCAAAATAATAATAATAATAATAATAATAAGATAAAGAGACCAATATGACAATAATAGCTGGAAATGATCATGCTGGACAAGAACTGAGGGCTAAAAGTAGGTAAGGGATATTCTCGATAACCTTTCAGTATCATTATTGCAAACCACAATGTTCAAAAGGAGAGAGAGAGAGAGAGAGAGAGAGAGAGAGAGAGAGAGAGAAGGAAAAGCGCCTGCCATAGAGGCAGGCAGGGGGCGGCGGGTGGGGGGTGATGGGAGAGAACCTGGGGACACTAGTGCTGGGAAATGTACACTGGTGGAGGGATGGGTGTTGGAACACTGTATGACTGAAATTCAATCATGAAAGGTGTTGTAATGCTCTAAAAAAAAAAAAAAGTTAAGGCACTTGCCTAGCACATGGTTTGGGCTGCAACTCTGGTTCAACTACCAGTACCACATATGGTCCCTGGAGCGCAGAGCAGGCGTGGCCCCTGAGCAGGGAGCCAGGTGTGGCCCCCAGCATGACGTGGGTGTGGTCCAAAACCAAACCAAACTAAGATTATTTTCAATTATTTGTCACCATCTCCATGAAGTGGAAAGGTACAAAGGAGACGTCAGAGGAGACGTCTGGCTCTGGGATTTTCCCTCCGCACAGAAGCTCCCTGGGCTGTTTCCACACTCAGCTTCCAGAAGATGAGCACGAGTCGCCGTGAGTGCACACCCATCACAGACAGCCCCACGTGTCGGACAACACCATCTAGCCTGGAGCAAGTTCTGGTGGGGGGAGGGGGTCACATCCAGAGATGCTCTGGGGCTACTCCGAGCAGTGCCCAGGGGACCGTGCCAGGGATCAAACGGCGGTCCTCATACGCAAAGCCTGTGTTCCAGGAGGAATGAAGCTGGGCGATCAATATCATTTCAATCTTAGCTTTGGACCCACAGACACTCAACATGACTCAAAAATAATAAGTATTTTCTCTTTGGGGGGAGGGGAAGCATATCTGGCAGTGCTCAGGGCTCTTCTCTGGTGCTGTGCTCTCCGCCCCATCTTTTTATTTATCTCTAAGTCCTGAAGGATATCTAATTTGGTTGAACTAAGCTCCCAGACTAAAACCAGGAAGTACAGTGGGTAAAGTACAGGAAGGAAAGCAGGGGCCAAAAAGTACGGTGGGTGAGGTGCTTGCCTTGCAAGTGACCAACCCAGGTTTGATCCCCAGCACCACTTGGGGTCCCACCCCCAAGCCCCCACCAGGAGTGATCCTTGAGTGCAGATGCCAGGGTAAGCCTTGAGCAATGCCGGGTGTGGCCCTCAACCAATGGAGTCTTAAAGAGAGTGGACACTGAAGCCCATCTACGCTGTCGGTCTGAGGGAGCCCAAGGCAGGAGGTGGCATCACCACTCTCTGGATGGGGCTCACGTGCTGGGCGGCAGCCAGGAAACTCCTACACGGGTTTCAGGGCTCCTGATCCTCAGCCTTCCTAGGATGGACCCAGCTGTTTTCTCGGGAAACACCACCCCCAGCAGACACACTGGCTTCTGCTCTGAGGGAAGAAGCTGGAGACAGAACACGGAGCAGCTTCCTCTGGAAAAGCATGTGGGGAAGGGGCCAAGGCAGGGGACAGTGCTGTCATAGCAGGCCTCATGGACCGTAAGACACAATTCTTAAATATCATCCTTATGGTGGGCTAGGGGCTGGAGCGGTAAGGCGTTTGCCTTACAAGCGGCCAACATGGCCGACCCGAGTTCGATTCCTCTGCCCCTCTCGGAGAGCCCAGCAAGCTACCGAGAGTATCTCGCCCGCACGGCAGAGCCTGGCAAGCTCCCCGTGACGTATTCGATATGCCAAACACAGTAACAAGTCTCATGATGGAGACGTTACTGGGCCCACTTGAGCAAATCGATGAACAACGGGAGGACCGTGATGGTGGGCTAGAGAGATGGCACAGTGGGTAGAGCGCTGGCCTTGCATGCAGTCAACTTGGGTTCAACCTCCAGCATCCCATATGGTATCCCAAGCAACGCCAGGAGTAGTTCCTGAGCACAAAGCCAGGAGTAACCCAAGAATCCCTGGGCCTGGCCCCAAAACCAAGAAAAAAAAATTTAAATAATAAAAAAATAATCGTCATGGAGCTGGAAAGATAGTACGGTGGGTACGTACTTGCCTTGCACACAGCCAACTTGAGTTTGACCCTAGTCATCCCATATGGTCCCCCAAGCCCCCACCGGGAGTGATTTCTGAGTAATGCCAAATGTGGCCCAGAATGAGGGAAACAAACTACATTAATCATGAAGTCACTGAATAGGAGACACACAAATGTACCTAGAACAGGGCAGTGGGGAGGGCACTCGCCTTGCACGCGGCCAACCCAGGTTCAATCCCAGGGACCCCATATGGACACCTGACCCTTCCAGATGTGATCCTTGAGCACAAAGCCAGGAGTAACCCTTAAGTACAGTGGGTGTGGCCCAAAAAAAACTATTTTTTTTAAATGTAGCTAGAAAAGGAAGAAATATACCAACATGTTCTCACTCATTTTCTCTAAAGGGCAAGACTATTAGTGGTAATTATCTTCCTATTTTTCTGGAATTTTTCATGTTCAAACACTAATCCTGGTAATCTTCCAAAGGCAACCATCATTATCTTTAACCTGGAAGGGGTCACTGGACACACCCCACAGTGCTCAGGTCACTTCTGCTCTATACTCAGGGATCACTCCTGGTGGTCTCAGCGGCAAAGGACTGAGCTCGGGTCGGCCACATGCAAGGCCAGCACCTCACCTGCTGCCCTAGCACTCTAGCCCATCTCTCCACCTGTTACACCCAACACCTTTTAACTCTGTTTCTGTTTTATAGTGTTTTTTGTTTGTTTGTTTCAGTTTTGGGGTCATACCTGGCAGTGCTTGAAGTGACTCCCAGCAGTGCTCAGGAGACCATACGGTCTTGGTGAATGAACCTGGGCCCCCTGCACGCAAATTATGAGCTCCAGTCCTCTGAGATATTTCCCCAGCCCCTAAGATATTTTAAAAGTTGGGCCAGAGAGATAGAACAGCTGGAAAGATGCTTGCTTTCCATGCAGTCGAACCAGGTTCGATTCCCGGCATTCCATACTATCCCCCACATACCAGGAGTGAGATCAGGAGTGGCCCCTGAACACTGCTGAATTGGCCCCAAAACAAAACAAAACAAGCCCCCCCCCCAAAAAAAAGAGCAGGAGCAATGATTATGAAGGGAATGCACCCATGGATTCCCTGCAGCTCCTCCTGAGTCTGAATTGGCCCAGGGGAAATCGAGGCCTTGTCCAGGCCATCAGCCCACACCAGCCCCAGACCTGAGGCCAGAACCATTTGGGCAGAACTGACCCCAGAGCTGCCCAGCCGACTGACTCACTGAGCCCTCACCTGGACACGCGATCATCTACTATAACTGACCGACACAGCGACGTCGGGTGGCAGGGCAATAGCTGAGAGCAGAGACAGCGCCGATACCTCCCTCCTCCGGCCACCCGTACCTGTCCAGGGGGTGCCCCTGACCTCGGGGCTCCAGGGGCTCCACTGGCCCATCCCGAACTCCTCCTGGGCGCGCATCTGCACCACGTGGCTCAGGCGGCTCCAGGCGTCGCGGATGATGCAGCTGTGCCTGGCTTCGTGGACCTGGGTGTGAGTGAGGAGGCGTGAGGTGTCTGCGGGACACCTGGCCGGCCGCTGCCCCCTCTCCCAGGGCTCCGCGAGTGTCCGCATCCGGAAGAAGCCTCCTGAGGCTCCGAGCCCCCATCCACCCCCAGGGCCTCGCTCCCCGTCCGTTCACCTTCCAGGTGGTGAAGACTTTGGACCGCTCTGCCCGGTAGCGGAGCTCGAACTGCAGCCGGTAGTAGTTTGTGTTCCAGGACGGGGGGTCTCGCCAGCTGACCCGGAGCCAGCGGGGATTACCGTCCACCGCGGTGACCGTGATGTTGGCCGGAGGGTCTGGCTGCACTGTGGGGAGAGGGGACAGACCGTCCACCGCAGGGCAGGGAGAGAGCCCCAGGAGGAACCCCAGCCCCCTGCACGGCTCCCAGATGACGACTTCCCACTCAGACACCGGCCGGGAGCGCCCTGTGGGCTGCAGCTGTGTACACCCCTGACAGCCCCGCCACGAAGGGCAGGGTCGGGGTAGGGGTGGGGGCCAAGACCACTGGGCACAGGCAGGGCAGGAGGGCACTTACAGACTTCGTACCCCTCGAACGACAGGGGTCTGCTACTTCTGCTCCCGGCAGTGTTGGCGAGGCACAGGGACACAGTGTACCTGGAGTTGTCGGCCTCGGGCACTGGCAGCTGGCAGGAGAAGGTCCGCGGGGCTGGGCTGTATAGGCAAGGCTGCTGGGAGAGACTGAAGCCTCCTTTCTGAGGGCTGGACACAGAGCACAGGCATCAGGGACTGCACAGCCCTCTGGGGACACCCAGGGCTGAGTCCCCACTCAGAGGCAGCAGCTCGGAGCCTCTTTTCCCTCCCTGACAAATGGGGACATAAGAGCGCCTGGTGCACAGGGTTTAGACTCCAGGGATCTCGAACCTGCAGTTCTAACAAGCTCCTGGTAGCAGTGAATCTGTAATGTAAGAATGACGCTTTGAGAAAAGCAGCCCCATCTTACTCTTCTGTCAGGCATCACATTCTCTGGAAGGCCATCTCACTTTGTGGACTAACTCAAAGATGACCTTTGATTCAGAGGCAGTTTTTGCTAGTTTTCTAAGGAAGGATCTAGTCTTATTGTGCATGATGCTTATTATTCCCTTCTGAAGTAGGGAGGTAGATGGACGGACTGGGGGTAAAAAAAAAAAAAGGTTTCTTTTTTTTTTAAATTCAGGGACCTCAAGGAGGGCAAAAGACCTAGCACAAGGGCCGGAAAGATCAGACAGCTGGGAGGGAAGACTGCCTTGCACGCGGCTGACCCGGGTTTGGTCCCCCAAGCACTGCCAGGAGTGATCCCTGAGCACAGAACCAGGAGTCGTCAGCCCTGAGCACTGCTGCCAGGGGTGGCCCAGAAAGCAAACCAACCCAGGTGCCAGAGGGTACTCACAGGTTCTTCACCAGCAGCCTGGCCTTGGTGCCGGGAGAGGGGCTGGCCCGCGGCTTCCACTCACAGGTGACTTTGTTGAATGGGTTCCTCCGGAAGCAGGAGATCTGGGGCTCCTCGGGGGGTGCTGGGGAGAGCAGGTGGGTATGAGGAGGAGCTCAGGGGAGCACGGCCCAGAGCCACCCTGGGCCCAGATGGGGAAGCACAGAGGGGCAGCGGGGGCAGCCTGGGAGGGGGTCCCCAGGGACGCTGGCTTGTTCAAAGGGTCAGAGGACAGACAACCAGGGCTCGGTCCCCGACACCCCATAGTGCCCCGAGCCGCACCAGGAGGGACCCCTGGGTACAGAGCGAAGAGTAAGGAGTGGCACCAGACCCAACAATAAAAAGAAGCTGTTTATTCTAGAAAAATCACTGTTCTGTGAGCTCAGCCTATGCTGGGCCGGTTTTGGCTCCACATCTCAGGGGCTGCCCCCACTGGCCTCTGCCCAGCATCAAGGGAGGAGAAGGAGGACACCCTCGGGCTGCGTGCTCAGCAGTGGACCACTTCAGGAGCCACCACAGACACCCCCGAGGACCCACCAGGCTGCTCGACAGATGCATCTCCCCCACATGGCAGAAAAAGGCACGGAAGCACGGTAGCACTGTCCTCCCATTGTTCACCAATTTGCTCAAGTGGGCACCAGTAACGTCTCCATTGTGAGACTTGTTGTTACTGTGTTTGGCATATCGAATACGCCACGGGGCGCTTGCCAGGCTTTGCCGTGTGGGCGAGATCCTCTAGGCAGCTTGCCAGGGTCTCCGAGAGGGGTAGAAGAATCGAACTGGAGTAGGCCCGGATTGGCCACTTGCAAGGCAAACGCCCCACCCACTGTGCTATCGCTCCAGCCCAAGGCACGAGCAGGAATATAAGGGCAGGGCCAAGGGGGCTTGTGGGGGGCACCACCAGCCCCAGAACTCCCTACCCCATGGACCCCTCAGTCCCGGGCCCTCTCACCCCTGGGCCCCTCATCCCCTGCATTCCCTCCACACACACCCCCACCCCTCACCCCCAGGCCCTCTCACCCCAGGGCCCTCACTGCCCTCCCTCACCCCGGTCCCTCACCCCTGCATTCCCTCCACCCCCCTCACCCCCAGACCCCTCACCCTCCTCCACCAGCAGCCGCACGATGCCCGCCGGATGGTTGGCCCTGAAGCAGGAGTAGTTCCCCGAGTCGCCAGGTCGCAGGGAGTGGAGAACCAACGTGGGCCTCTGGAGGGCAGCTTTGCTCAGGTGCCGGGGAACCTCAGTGTGGAGCTCCCAGAGGACGGGCCTGCGGTCTCGAGAGCCGTTCCTCAGACAGGTCAGGTTGATGCTGGCCCCTGGCAGCTTGGTTAGCACGTTGCTCGGCACCTCTGGGGGACAGGGGAGACAACACTCAGGAAACACCCAGGAAGGACGGAGGGAAGCCCTGGGTCCTGATCTGGGGGGCCGGAGTGGGGCCCACTTCCGGCCACCAGCTTTCCTCCACGGAACACATCCCTATGTGAAACCTTCCGACCTGGGGGCTTTGTTTATTTCTGGGCCACACCGGCGGCGTTCAGGGCTCATTCCTGCCTCTGTGCTCAGAAATCACTCCTGACAGTGCTCGGGGGACCGTATGGGATGCCGAGAATCGAACCCAGGTAAGCTGCATGCAAGGCAAATGCCCACCAGCCCTACTATTGCTGTGGCCCCTTAAGGTAGATTCAATGCCTTTTTTTTTTTTATTTTTTGGGCAAAAACATGAAGTACAACATTTCCATAAAACTTCTTTCACTTGTGGGGGAGTGGGCGGAACACACGGTGGTACTCAGGGGCTACGCCCAGCATGGTGTTGGGGTGGGGGGTGTCGGTCACTCCTGGTGGTGCCAGGGACCCAACCTGGGCCTCATACATGTGAAGCAAGTGAAGGTTAAAAAAAAATGTGTGTGCTTTATCTCTGTAAAAACAGGGCGTGACAATAATTACGTGGGGGCAATAAGTGGTGAAATCTGCATCTGGGTGAGCCGGCTGTGGCTCCCAGGACCTCCTCCCTCAGGCCGGCCCTCTCCAACCAAAGCCCCGTCACCCTCCTCGAAGCACCCTTCAGGGCCTGCCCCTTGCCGTGACACCAAATCTACGTGGGAGGATGCCACGGGCACAGGCACGGCTGGGTAGAGGCCACGGTGGAACGGGAGTCTGAGGGAAGACGCGAGTCCAGCTCGGGACTCAGGCTCTTGCCACGCAGGCGGTCACCTACAGTCAGGATGCAGTTCATGGACCCCACAGCACATATAGGCCTCCAGCACCGCCAGGACTCAGTCCTGAGCACAGAGCCAGGAGTAGCCCCCTGGGCACCAGAGGGACCAGAGACGCTGTACAGTGAGAAGGGGGCTTGCCTCACATGCAGATGAGCCAGACTCAATGTCCAACACCGACCCCGGAACAGCCCAGAAAGCAGGGCTGTGAGCGTAAAAGGACCAGCACCAGCCTTGCTCTGGGTCCCCAATTGTCACTCCCTCTTGCTTCCCCTCCAGCCTGGCACCCTCCATCTTGGCTGGCAGAGGAGCAACTGGCATCCAAGGCTCATTCTTTCCCCTACAAGAGCCTTGGATTTCGGGTGAGAAATCTGGTTAACGGTCAGCGCACGGCCCTGAGATTCTGGCAGGTCTCTGAGCCTGCCGTAGCCGCACTTGCCCACGTCCCCTCGCTCCCTCACGCCACAGTATCCCAGCAGGCACCCAGGCCAAGCACCACAAGGAGACAGTGAGCATGGGGAGGCCTGTGCCACACAGGGGGGGGTGGGGGGGCGGCGAGGGGGGCAGCTCTGCACAGAACTGGACAGACAGGAGGCAGCCTGAGGGTCAGCAGAATCCAGACACTGAGCAAAGTCCCCCTCCGTCCTGGGAGCAACAGACATCTAGTACGAATTCCCCAGTCATCTCAGGTATCGTGTCAAAATGCACCACATAACATCAGCACAAGCTGATGAGCATCAGGATATATAGGGCGGCGTGAGACAGACCAATCACTGAGAACCCCAACACAGACATCACATGAGGTCCCCTTTGTACCCCGGCTTCCCTACACAGCACCTGATCCAGGGAAGGCATCGCTCCCTCGCTTTGATTTGCTTCTAAGTTTTGGTTTGGGGGCCACATCCCACAGTGCTCTGGGCTGACTCCTGGATTTAAATTCAGGGAGCACTCATGGGGACCGTATGTGATACTAGGGTTGGCCACAGGCCAGGCATGTGCTTTTCCTGCTGTACCATCTTTCTGACTTCACCACCTCATTCCTTTTTTTTTTTTCCCCTTCTGGGTCATACCCGGCGATGCTCAGGGTTACTCCTGGCTCATGCACTCAGGAATTACTCTTGGCGGTGCTCAGGGGACCATATGGGATGCTGGGAATCGAATCCGCGTCGGCCGCATGCAAGGCAAATGCCCTACCCACTGTGCTATCTCTCCAGCCCCCCAACCCCCACTTTTTAAAAGCAGGCTCGCAGGGGGGCAGAGGAGCAGTCTGCAGGCCGAACATATTCTTGGCAGGCAGGAGGTCTGGATTTGACCCCCCAGCATCACATGGTATCCTCAGCACCACTGGAAGTGACACAAAACCCACCTCTCCAAAATAAAATACAAATAAATAAGAATGAATTCACAGGGCTGCAGGAGCAGGGAGATAGTTTAGCGGAATCCCCAGCATCCCATATGACCCCCTGAGCATCACCTGGAGTGATCCCTGAGCACAGAGCCGGGAGTAATCCCTGTGCAAAGCCGAGTGTGGCCCGAAAACCAAAAAGAAAAGAATGAGTTCCTGGGGTTGAGGAGTGAGCTCAGCGGGAGCTTGTGTCTCACCTGGCTGAGGTGAACCCTGGCACAGACAGAGATAAAGAACAGACTCGCAACACACAACATGACTACACTTTGCTTAACTTCATTTTCGGTTTGGGGGCCACACCTGGTGGTGCTCAGGGCTTATTTCTAGCTCTGTGCTCAGGGATCATTCCTGGCGGGGATCACGGGGTGTTTTGGGGGATCAACCCCAGGTTGGCCACATGCAAGGCAAGCACCGTGCCTGCTGTATAATATATTGCTCTGATCCCTTTTACAGGTTCCTGAGTGGGGTGAGGAGACTGTCTCTGTGCTGTGTGTTTACCATGGCCAGCTGCTGAGATTCAGTGACCCGCGGCTAGCAAGCATGGTGCCTGTCCATTTTCACTGCTGAGTAATTGTCCACTGTGTGGCCCCAATGTGCTGGCCTGGTTCTGCTGTTGAGACTGTGGGCGGGCTCCAGTGGAGAGGCCAACCGGCTGCAGTGTCCTGCGGAGGTGCGTCTGGGGCGGTTCCACCCAGATTCAGGTGATCGCCCTCAGTGACGCTCACACTCGGATAAAGCCGGCCCATGAATCATGAGTCACTCTAGGACACCTTCCCATTGCTCAGCCGTGACCAGCTGTGCCAGTGGCCTGAGGAGGGCTGCCAGGCTGTTTGCATGCTTTACTGGAGTAGAGTGTGGCTATCACCTTCTCTAGTCCAGTTTCCCTGAGCACAGCTGCTGGGCCTGGTGCATCCCCTCCAGATGACCACTCATCCCAGGAGCACCCACAGACGGTCCCACCTCTGAGTCACGCATAGGCTCTTATCTGTGCCTGAGTGAAGTGGCATCTAGAAGACCCAGGCCAGGGAGAGAACAGAAAAAAAAATAAACAAATAGAGCTGCGTCAGGTTAGAAAGGGGACCAAAGAAACCCGAGTTACCTTAAGAGCTGCTCTGCCGGAGGAGAGAAGATATTTGCACACTGTACCCGGGAGGGATCCAGGACTAATATCCAGGATGGCTGATGTGCTCAGAAAGTCAAATAACAGAGAAACCAATAACCCCATGAAAAAACAGGAGGAGGAGACTTTCATGAAGAGAACATATGTATCTTTCAATGATGTACCTAAAAAATTGTTCACCGTTGGGGCCGGAGCGATAGCACAGCAGGTAGGGCGTTTGCCTTGCATGTGGCCAACCCGGGTTCGATTCCCAGCATCCCATCTGGTCCCCTGAGCACCGCCAGGAGTAACTCCTGAGTGCAGAGCCAGGAGTAACCCCTGAGCATCACCGGGTATGACCCAAAAAGAAAAAAAAGAAAAAAAATTTTCACTGTCAGTTATTATCAAATCCAAATCAGGAGACATCATGTCATGCTCGTGAGAATGACACACAGCAGAAGACGGGAGGGGCAGAGAGACAGCAGTGGGAAGGCACTTGCTGTACACCCAGCCCACCCTGTCTGGATCCCGAGCACCACATAGAATCCCGGGACCCCCACCAGGGGTGATTCCTGAGCACAGAGCCAGGAGTAGCCCCAAATCCAACCAGACTAACAGATTGGAAATAACCCATCAGCAGGGTGGGAATGTCACCTAGTTCAACCTTTCTAGAAGTCTCTATGGAGATTCTCAGAACAGAACAGATCTCCCCTATGCGATTCCCAGTGATTCTGCCTCTTGGCATCTGCCCCCAAATAAAAAGAGATGAACAGAAGCCCCACTGACACATCTAATCACTCTATTGGTTTTCCCCACAATCTAAAATGAAGGCATTCCTCACAGAACTTTGGGCCTGGGGATGTGTCTCCATGGAAAACCACATGCCTTAGAGAACCCCAAAAGCAAGCAAAATATACACACACACACACACACACACACACACACACACACACACACACACACACACCACAGACCATCTTTTATAAGCCAAATAGCATAAAGAAGTAATTCAGCCATAATTCACGTGGAGGAAAAAAAAAAGGCAGTATTCTCAGATACCTGCCTCTCCCAACCTTCTCGCCCTCACCCACCCCCCCAAATAAAAACCCTACCGAGTCATACCAAATATTCACCTAAGCTGACCTGCACGGAAACTGGAAAAAATGGTGATTTGGTCCCAGGAGGCTGCTCAAAGGGCTGTGCTGTGACCAGGCTCTGGCCACCACGCAGACTGGGCAGCCCTTATGAGAGCCAGTGAGAACTCGGTGGCTGGTGCTGAATGCCTCGGAGGGCCCTGCAGGCGCCAGGCACGACCTCCGCACTGAGGGCTCCCCCAGGTGACAGAGTCTGAGCAGCGCCCCTTGTCCCTGGAGAGCCCAGGGCTGGCGGAGGAGAGACGCAGAGGGGACTCTCCAGTGCTTCTGCCCCAGACACTTCCAGAAAATCTATTTCCCCACTCACACGTCAGCCTCCAACAGCCGCTCCTGCCTTGTTTGGGGACCTGAACAAAAGCACGAGCCATTCTGTTCCCGCCCTCGCTCACAAAGGCCAAAGGATTTGGGCACTTCAGAGAAAGAGCAAATCAAAGGACTGTTTTCCGCCCACCCCCCCTTCCACAAAAGCAGGCTTCAG